GGACATCGTCACTGGTGTTTGGCGATTAAGGAACGAGGTGCCAGAACTTCCAATCTGCTCAAATCCAACACCTACTGGTGAAGTTGTGGTGAAATCAGGAATACACCAAACATTAAATCATTACATGTTCTGCTGGGGAACCTCAGATCCAGACTGTATTTAAAGGACTGATTGCCTAAAAGGTGAAGAAGTGGCTTAAACCTGCATTCTCTCTCACCACCAGCAGGGGGCGACTCTTCTGGTTGCAAAAACATGGAGGTCTAAGAGAAAATGACCCGAATTCTCACTTGATTTGTCTTCTCAGTAAACATTTTTCTAATGAGTTAATGATTTTACTTGGTAGTTTCAAGTCTCCTTCAATGCAGCAAGATGTTTATTTAGTAAATTAGGGTTCCGTTTAAAATAAAACAGACGATAAAGTTGTCTGCGCTTGAGGACACCTGTGATTGGGTTGCTACACTTCTTAGTCAGGTCCATGCTTTGCTTTTTTTTTTTTAAAGACCAAGACAAAGATGAGTAAATGCCAGAGTTAAGGGTTCAAAACTGTCATTCTACATCAACTGCTGGCTACGTCCATCTAGTTTATGGCGTCCTCCACCCACACTGCAAACACTGCACAGAATCAGCTCGAGGGACGCAACAAAACAGGATCTTACTAATGATTACTTTTCTTATTTTATCGAAAAATGGTTCAATTCACAAATGAAATGAACCCCTTGTTTCTGTAGCTGCTCTAATTCTTCTTCTTAAAAAGTCATTTAAAGGTTAGCGCCAAACAGAGACGCCACAACAGATTCATTTAATCACAGTAACCAGTTTTCTGTTTCCTCAAATAATATCTCTGATCTGAGAGAAAAGTCAGATGTCAAGGTGATTCCTACTACGTTTTGATCAACCGAAAAGCAAAAAAAATACTCAATGTGCTGTTAAATGTGGCAACGAAAAGTAGTAAATCATCAGAAACAACAATCCCTGAAACAAAACAAAAAGCACAACCGGGCTTCCAAACCCCACAACAGACAAAACCCGAAGCTTTCACTGCCAGCATCCGATGCCAGACACAACTGGACGCCGCCAGTTGTCCCACGTCCATGCCTCGATGTCCCGACCTTCACTGTATAAGGCAGGTGGTTTTAATGTTCTGGCTGCGTTTATTCACGATGCATTGATGTAGTCCTGCACCGAATAGTGAAAATGTTACCATCCCAGTCTCCAAGAGCACCAAGCTTTCAACCAAGAGGCTAAAACCAAAACATATTCTGTTATAACACTGATATAAAACAAACAATCCTCATAATAAAGAAGCTGAAACACGAGAATGTTTCGCATTTCTGCTTGTAAAATGACTCAGATGTTGAAACAATCCCCAGACTGATCAACTCATGCTATTGCTGCACCAAACCTTACGTCAGCGTGACACCGGACCCCGACAATATATAGAAATTGCTGCTTTAAGTCCAGTAAACGCATCATTAAGAAAAGTACATAGAAGCGAAAGTAGAAGGGGAAAAAATAAACCTAAATGCGACACCGAGGAAAGTCTAACACTATAATTTTATTCTGACAGCTGATGGCTTCTCTCAAGCTTCTCCTCCACTTAACAAAGTGCAGATGTGTGGAGATGGAATAAAGTCTTTTTTTTTTTTAGTGCAGCACTCGACTGACATCCAGTTGAATAAGATCTACTTCTCCTCGCAGTTCTAAAGGCATTAGGAATAAAGCTCAGGCGAACGGATGGGTCATACATCACTGAGCATTACTCGTGCTGTGCCGTGACTCTAAAACACAAATTGGATTACCTGTGCACCCACGCGGATTCCTCCCCCACCCACCCACCTCCGAATCAAAAACACACACACAAAGAAAAGCACATACGTGTTCTAAACGCCTCACGCAAACACCGTAAAGCTGCAAATACACAGAGTCTTATTGAAGTTGCAGTAAAAGGCGGTTTACAGCACCTGCAGTCTATCTCACTCTGGGATCCACACACACACACTGGCACGGTGCAATTTTTGTTCCCCGATAATAAATGCCACATTATTGTGATGTACAGCGGAGGACCACGTCACATAAAGGTTGCCGTGATGGAATCTCTCCACGGAGCCGCCGGCCTTGACATGTGAAATCAGATCCTAAAACTGTTTATGGCGCCGTGAAGCCAGACGGCGGCCCTCTGCTCCTGTAAACAATCCACCGGAACCCCGTGATTTATTAGCGAGGCCTCCAATAAATCTGAATACTCATCATTCTAAAACAATCCATTTCTGGATTTTTTGCTGTTTTGTTTTTTTCTTTCCCCCTCTTTCATCGCAGTCTGGCGGCCAAGCCCCGGCCTTTACCGCTGAGATCATCGCAGCGGCAGAGCTTCAATAATGAAAGCGGGAATTTACAGCCGGCCGCTAATTGAGCCGTTATTATGATTTGAGACAACACATTTTAACGCGAGCGTAGCTCACGCCCGGCGCAGACCTAAAAAAGCTCTAAAGGCTCATAAAGGCCACAGCGGGTGTTTAGTTTAATAGGAAGTGTGTGTTTTGTTAAGAGATGCGCTGATAGCATCTGCAGCCGAAGTGATCACACTCTAATGCGATCAAAAAAGCAAGTTTGCTCTGATACCGACGGTGAAATAAGATGCTCTCTGGCATCATAAAATAAAGTTGTTTTTTTTTCTTTTTCCTGGCTGGAAGCTGAAAACGATTTGAGGAGTTTCACCGCAGCAGCAGCAGCTCTGAGTACCGCAGGAGCTCCCTCAGCAAACCCAAAGCACAAAATACGCTTGATTTTTCTCCTGTTTTTTTTAATATTTCGCTCTTTGAAACTTCACGCAATTAATCCGAGAAGTGTCGATGTTAAATTTGGTATGAACAAAATCTTTGGGAGGTAGAAGAAACCGAGACGGCGAATAAACATGTTTTCACAGAGCAAACTACAGACCATGTTAATTAGTATTTCTATAAATCTCTCCCTTGATCCAAACAATGTCACTTTCCACTGTTCTCCAGTGATGTTATTATCATAATGAGGATTGTCACGAATGGTTCAGTGCACATTTTTGGTTCAATGAAGCTCTTCTTTGATTGTAATTGCTCTGCTTCTTCTCAAAACTTGCATTCAAAACAGGGATGCAGCTATTAATTAGTTTTATTATCTGTTAATTTGCAGGTTTTTTTCCTCAAATAGGCTCTAAAAACAAGACAAGGTGGTATCTAT